AATCCCAGCCGAGTCTGATGTTTTTCATTTCATATGGCATTAAAAGTGGACATCTACAGATACATACAAGAGCAGCACCCCCGGCCAAAGTTTCTGATCTTTCTTTCGTGTAGATACAATAAAATTTATTAAATCCGAAGAAATCTTTTTGAGTTGAGTAATTCTATATGAATACTTTAAGAAGTTCTGAGGAACTCTAATCATGGTGCATGTAACTTCCTAAATCATTCTTATAATATTCTTCCACGAATTCCTAAGGAAGTACAATTCAGGAAAGGAGAAAACTTTAGGAACACTTAAAGAATTCATCGTGTTATTTGGGCAGCAACGTTTGACAAGTGAAAAAAATAAAGAAAAAGTTAAAACAATATATAACTTGTATATTTTTTGGACTCCCCCGATTGATTATCAATGTTGGAGTCAAAATAAATATTTTTACCAAAAAAGCTGCAAAAAAATATCAAAATTCGAAAAAGGTCTAATTTACATAATTACCAAAAAAAACCAGGAGTATTGATATACTAGATAGTACACCGATTGTGCCTGACGGTACTTCCACAGCAGCGCTTGAGATCGATATTTCGGCCAAATACATGATTTTTAATATTTAATTAAAATTATCTGGATGACTCACAAACCTTTTTAATGATACTTCATAACTCTTCATACGAAATATAAACGATATCATACCGAACCTTTGTTTAATTTACCTCTGGTCATTATTTCCGGCTAAATACATGGTCCAAAAAAGAACAATTAATTACAAATAATAGAATGACTCACAAATTTTTTCAATTGCACTTCAAAACTCTTCATACGAAATACAAACGATTTAAAAGAATAATTTTCCAATCAGAGTTTTTTTCCGGTCAAGTACCCCTACTGAAAAATTTCTATTGAGATCACAATTCCCAATTGAATTCTCAATTAAATTCTCAATTGAATTCTCAGTTGAGGTTTCCGCAAAATTTCGCATGTAAGATCTCAATTGAGATATTTGTATCTGATGGAAATAATTCATTGAAAATATAATGAACTTTTGCTGAAATATGTTTGAAAAGCATTCACAATTTTGACCCAATTTCATTAAAATTTCATTATAATTTCATTAATATTTCGATAATATTTTATTAAGAGAGTAGAAAAATTCAGTGAAAAATTATTATTAATTAAAATATTTAGAAAAGTATAATGAAGTATTATTTTGTCTAAATAATAAAAAAAAACTGGCATTTTATATTTTGTGTCGTTTCATTTATTCGTGAGATTCG